TCAATTACAACCTTTAAGTTCATTAATATCTAATTTAGATGATAAGATTACAAAACAAAAAGTAGATCTTAAACAACTAATAGCCAATATTAATCCAGGTATAAGTGAAGATAATTAACAACATTAGAAACTAAACTTATTGATAATAGTGAAATACAAAAACAAATAGTTGGTATTAAACAACAATTACTAAATGTAGTAGATAAAACTCAATTAGAAAATTTAAAATCATTAATATCTAAATTAGATGATAAGATAACAAAACGTGTTATTTTCAAATATTATCAAGGCTGTTTCCAATAAATTTTTAACATTTAAAGGACAAATTGAAATAGATGGAGAGATATTTCAAGATGGAAAGCACAAACAATTTATGAAACTTCTTGGTTTTAATGCCGAAACGTTTCATACTATCTGTAGAAATATGGAAGAAAAATCTGACCCTTCTGATTGGTACTTTACAGGAAGTATCTTTTTACTTAAAGACAATTTTAAAGAAATTAAAAGATCAAAAGTTGGAAGAGAAACGGAACTACTCAAAAAAATAAATGAATATATAGGTGAAAATTGTTACATACCAACAGATGGTAACTGTTTTATCAAATGTGTAAACTATGTTTTAAACAAAGATTTAACAAATGAATTTCAAAATTTCATCAATGGTTTCTCAAAAGCAAATAGAAAAGGAGTGATGACATCTGCTAGAATAAATGAATTCAATAATAAATGTGATATTTCATTTCAAATTTATACTCATAATAATAGAAATTTGCGCCCCACAATTGTAAAAGAGGAATTAGATTGGGTTTTATATTTACACAACTCACATTTCTGTCTTATAAGAAGAAATAAAAAAAGTTTGGGTATTAAAGAAATAGAAGATAATTATGAACAAGTATGGAAAACGTGTAGAGACGATAACGCAGTAACACAAAAACTCTCTGAAACTAAACGTGTTTAAGTGTATAAGTGATGTTGGGTTATTTGCTTGGGATTGTGAAACATATTCAGAGAGTGAAACGCGTAAAGCAATTCCTTATGCGTGTACGTTAATTAATTTATAAAAACTGAGAAAAATGTTAAACAGAATAAATAATCTCTTTCCAGATTTAAATCCTACAGATAATGTTCCAGAAGAATTTTATGATAAACTAATGAATATAGTAGAAATATTTGTAGGTCAATATGATAAAAAGAGATTAATATTAGTTTCTCATAACGGTAGCAATTTTGATAACTGGATCGTGCTTAAAAATATAAAGAAATAACACAATGCCCTTTAAAAACACCCAGATGAATTCTATCTTTACCTTTATCTAATCCATACACAGATGAAGATTTACAGAAAAAATGGAAAAGACAGAAAGAAATAAAGGGTAATTATTTACAACATATTAATTTCACGTGTTCCTATCAACATGAAACATCTAGTTTAGCGGCATGGGATAATTCATCTAATCTACCAATGAATTTGAGAAAGATCACTGATATCAATGTTGCAAAATACACCAAAGATAACTGGGAATCTTTAAGACATGAATGGGAACCATATGCAAAAAGAGATACGTTATGTCTTGGAAGTTGTTTGATAAAATATAACCAAGTAACGGAAGAAGTTGTAAACCAAAATATGTCCAATAATCTAACGACTCCATCTTTATCTTTTAAGGGTTGGTATTATTTGTATCATTACGATAATGGTTGAAGAAGAATGGTATGAAACTACTAGAATGTTTCCGAAACATACTGAAAAAGAAAAGTTTATTCGCCCACTAAACCTTTTATAAGACATTATATTAGACGATCTATTAAAGGAGGAAGAGTTCCAAAATATGTCCAATAATCTAACGACTCCATCTTTATCTTTTAAGGGTTGGTATTATTTGTATCATTACGATAAAGAAATGGTTGAAGAAGAATGGTATGAAACTACTAGAATGGTTCCGAAACATACTGAAAAAGAAAAGTTTATTCGCCCACTAATCCTTTTATAAGACATTATATCAGACGATCTATTAAAGGAGGAAGAGTTCCGGCAAATAGAAAGATATTTGAAACAAACAAATTGGATTTGTAATGTATGAAAGGAATTTATTTCACTCTTATACTACTTCTAGGGTGGTAAGAGTTTGTAGTCTTGTATCTCTAGGGTGGTAAGAGTTTGTGGTCTTGTATCTCTAGGGTGGTAAGAGTTTGTGTTCTTGTATCTCTATGGTGGTAAGAGTTTGTGGTCTTGTATCTCTATGGTTGTAAGAGTTTGTGGTCTTGTATCTCTAGGGTGGAAAGAGTTTATGGTCTTGTATCTCTAGGGTGGTAAGAGTTTGTGGTCTTGTATCTCTACGATGGTAAGGATTTGTGGCCTTGTACCTTTAAGGTTGTTAGGGTTTGTGGTCTTGTATCTCTAGGGTGGTAAGTGTTTGTGGTCTTGTATCTCTAGGGTGGTAAGGGTTTGTGGTCTTGTATCTCTAGGGTGGTAAGGGTTTGTGGTCTTGTATCTCTAGGGTGGTAAGAGTTTGTGGTCTTGTATCTCTAGGGTGGTAAGAGTTTGTGGTCTTGTATCTCTAGGGTGGTAAGGGTTTGTGGTCTTGTATCTCTAGGGTGGTAAGAGTTTGTGGTCTTGTATCTCTAGGGTGGTAAGAGTTTGTGGTCTTGTATCTCTACGGTAGTAAGGGTTTGTTGTCTAAGGCCTCTAGGGTGGTAAGAGTTTGTGGTCTTGTATCTCTAGGGTGGTAAGAGTTTGTGGTCTTGTATCTCTAGGGTGGTAAGGGTTTGTGCTCTTGTATCTCTAGGCTGGTCAGGGTTTGTGCTCTTGTATCTCTAAGTGGTAAATGTATGTGATCTCATGACGGTCATTTATATTGAAGGAGAATCTTTTCGATTCTCATAAGGTCGTATTATTAGAGGGGTTCTTTTGAGGTTGTTTGAAGAAATTCATTTTGGAAGGTCTTATAGGTGGTTGTCAGAGTTTTTCAATTGCATTACTCTTGAACAAAGGTACTGCTAAACTCTGGACTAGTGAT